GTGCACACCCTGTGGACTGACCTAGGGAGGGCTGTGCACACCCTGTGAACTGACCTAGGGAGGACTATGTAGCATCCTGAGGACCTGACCTAGGGAGGGCCGTGTAGCATCCTGCAGATAGCAAACTCCTTGAAGCTGATTCTTCTTCCCCAGGCTGTGTCCATTCCTTTTTTTTTTCTCCTTCTGCACTTCCTAAAGTAAGGTTTTTCTTGAAAGAGCAAATAAATTATGGGGGGACTGCGGCCAGAAATACTGCAGGACTTTGAGGAAACCCCCTTCCCCCAGCTCTCAGGCGTCTCCATCACAGAGATCGTCCATTTAAGCACTATTCACACAGGGCCGCAGCTCATGAAAGTTGGGCTGTCAGGACTGAATTCCACCCAAAGAAAGGCTCCCTTCACATACTCACAGCTGTCGTTGTGAAAAGTAGAGGAAAAGGGAGATTTGTATTAAATAGACACATGTAAGCCCCCCCGAGGGACTGGAGGCGCAGGGTGCAAGAACAGCTCCCATCAAACCCGAATCCTCTGCTTTAGGATCTTACTAAGGCGGGTGGGAAATGAAAGGGAAGAGACTCCTCGCTCACTGCTCAGCCGCATCAAGGCAGTCAGCTGGTGACAGGGAGCTTACTGCAGGAGGCTGCGATGATGTGGAAGGGTTAACGTCATCTGAGCAGATTAGGAATTTTCTGGCTCTCTTGGGAGTGAAAAGCAGATTCAATCTTAGACCTTAAGGAGTGTTGGTGAGTTCTCTAAAATTCCAACCAAAGACAGAAGTGGCCAGACTGGCTGTGTGCAGGGATCATCAGAGTTTTCTTTCTTTCTTTCTTTCCTTCTTTCTTTCCTTCTTTCTTTCTTTCTTTCTTTCTTTCTTTCTTTCTTTCTTTCTTTCTCTTTCTTTCTTTCTTTCTTTCTTTCTTTTTTTCTTTCTTTCTCATGTTGGGAGACAGTCTTGCTGGGTTGTGGGAAGGCTGATGAGGCTGGCAGTGTGGCCACATTTAGTTGAGGGGGCAGATAAACTGCTGTCTGTAAAGCCAGCTCTGAGTAATTCAGGCCACCTGACCACCTCCCCCACGGTCAGCTCTGTGCTCAGCTCTGAGGAGTCTGCACACACACACTGATGAGGGGACACTGCCCAGTCCCCTTGCTCTGTCCAATGTGAGAGGAGAGCCTTGCTAAGGTAGGGTCACAGGGTCATAGGCTGGACAACAAATACCATTCATATATGGCTGGCAGGCATGGGCATCTCAGTCTCCTTCCCCAGTCACCCTTGTTCCCTTTTCTGTTTCACGCTTCCCTCCCTGTCGCTGCTTCTGCCCTCTGCACCTCCTCACGTCCCCACCCCCATCCTCCCAGGGACTGAGGACACATTTCAGGCCAGCCGTGTTATTGGATTCTAAATGATGAGATGGCTTTTTAATTCTTGCTCTAATCGCCTTCCCATGTAGGGCATTGAGAATGGCTGATTACCAGACAACTGGGCTGGGTGGTGACATTCCTCATCCACTGTCCCTTCAAGCTGCAGTGAAAGGGAGGGGAGAGAGAGAGAGAGAGAGAGAGACAGAGACAGAGACAGAGACAGAGACAGAGAGTCGAGAGATGCCCACCTCCCCAGCTTCCGCATCTGGGGCGCTAGCCGAGCCTGGTGCACTGTCCGTGGTGCTGACGGGCTGGGTTCCAGCAAACTCTAGTACTCTTAGGCACCTTGGTGCTCCGGGGGCTGAATAATTTAAGCAAATAGTCTTGGACATCTTTCCCTTTTTCCTCAGGGCAGGAAAACATCCCCCGCTGAGTCTCTAGAATAATTG